TTCTTTCTTTTTATTTATGCATATTTGACTAATCCCTCCCCTTTTAAACTTTGTACTGTCCTATAGTACACATTGGAATGATTTCTTACTTTAGTTTTTACAACTTTATTAAATAGATAAAGGTGTGCTCTCTCTCTTGCTCTCTCGCTCCACATTGCTTTTCTTCCCGACTGCAACGCTGTTGTGAGTGTCTGTGAGAGCGTTTCACATGTGTGTATGAGAGATTTTTACCAGTGGCGAGCCTGTCTCTGAGGGCCTAAGATATTCTACAAAATAATATTATAAAACATTAAAAAAAAAAAAAAATGTCTTTATATATCTTTTTTAAATATGTTTTTAGTAATATTTGTCATTAGTTTTACAAATAATAACTTGATTAAATTGTATTTATAATAACATTTCCAAAGAAATAAATCCTTTGAATCTGCCTATTCAGTTTCTGTTTGAATGTGAAGGGTTAAATGAAAGAAGCTCCTCTCTGCGAGTCTGTGAAGACAGGAGCTGATTGGACGTCCAGCTATGAATTCACAGAGGGCCCGCTATAGTAACTGAAGAGAGAGTAATGTCAAATGACAGTACAATTGACCAATCATATCTTGCCTCTAAATGGGTGGGCTTTATTATCGCAGACTTTATGACAGGTTCCGCCCGCTGTGAAACGTTTCTTGTTTCCATAGCAACAACTGTCATCAGCGTAAACTCGCCTTCAAAATAAAAGCATGCCAAATTACACTTAAGACATACAACTGCAACGAAAGTAACAAACACAATGCAATATCCTTTTCAATTTCAAAGAACACAAATTGGGTTATTTACAGGTGTTGTTTTGTGTGGTAGAGGGTCGCTTTCATTGATGCGTTTTGCACCCTGGGCGAGCCGTTGTTTTGATATTCCACCAGTGTGAAAAAAAAAATAAGAATTTTATTTTTTTAAATAAAAATAATTTTTTTATTTTGTAATTCGTGACCCACCTATCACATCTCTGCGCCCCACCAGTGGGGCACGCCCCACACTTTGAGAAACGCTGACTTAGGCTAAGGGGAACTGGGGATATGTATCAGCTGCTTGTGTGAGTCGGACAGTGAATACTTTAGAGCGGCCGCAGCAGTGTGAGCTAACCGGGAGCTAACGGAGGAGAATAAACTCCCGTGGAAGAGCAGCCAACACTGCAGCGGTCGGTAAATGCTGCAGAAACACATTAATAAACAATGAACCACGGCACTCTGGAGCAAAGTATAAGGTTGGAGAAGTCGTTATTCAATTTATTCTGGCTTCGTGTGATTAAAAGCAACACGATCATCGACCCGACGCAGTTCCCCGTTGTTGTTGTTGTTGTTGTTGTTGTTGTTGTGAGCGCCGTAATGCCGTTGGGGAGCAAATCAGCGATGTAAACTGTGACGTCATGACGCAGCAGCGGCAGCACCAGTCGGGTGCTGGGCGGTGTGAACAGAGCGGGAGCAGAAAAGGGAAACCGGAGCTGAACCAGAAAAGCTCTAGCTCGGAGCTAGAAAGGGAAAAGCGCTGGTGTGAAAGCCGCATAAATGTCTCTTGGCCTACAAGTGCTACCAACATGTTACTTACTTGTCAAGATGTATTCATAAGTTATTTCCCCCCCCGAAAAGTTATCAACAATGTTGTATTATACTTGACCTTTGTCCGTTTCTAATACTGCTTGGTTTTTGCACTTCCCTGGTGTGTCGTTCTTATTATCTTTGTAGTCTTTGTGATTTCGGTTTTTTATTTCATTTTCAATTAATCTATTCAAGGAAAAAGCAGAGGTTAAAGAAGTACTCTTGTGCTTATGTACTTTTACTTGAGTAATAATTTGAATGCAGAACTTTTCACTTTACTTGTAACAGAGTATTGCTACTCTGGAGTCTGGTTTGAGTAGTATTAGCATGAACATGTACTTAAAAATCTAAAGTAAAAGTACTTACTATGCACATTTACCAAATTCTGAATAATATAGATATATGAAAAATATGTATGATTATAATTATGAATGTAATAATGTGTTTATCATAGCTGGTAAAGGTGGAACTCATTTTAATTACTTTATTTACTGATCTGTAGCTTGTGAATTTGATCAAAGAGTAAAGTTACAAAACTTACATAAGACATCAGTTCTGATTAATTATATTTTATATCAATAATCCATATCCGCAAATTAACTAAAAGGTATTACATACTGTATGATGTAGAAGTAAAATATTTACCTCAGAATTTTAGCAGTGTTGTAAAGTAACTAAGTACATTTACTCAAGTACTGTACATAAGTACAATTTTGAGGTACTTGTACTTTACTTGAGTATTTCCATGTTATGATACTTCCTGACCTAAGATTTCCATCGTCATAACTAGACTGTAGCTATGTTCGTATGCCAACATAAAAAACCTTGAACCTTCTACTCCACTACAGGTAAATGGTGTACTTCTCCTGCTCTACATGTATTTAATACCTTTAGTTACTTCACAGATCTGGATGAATGATGTGAAATATAATCAAGTGTTAAATCAGACTTTAGTTCCACCTGGAGTAAATCCACCAGCTACCCTGCAGTCTACAAAGTCATTCAAACTAGCTGCACCTTTACCAGCTTTGAGAACACTTTCCTGATCAATCATTATAAAACATATCATATATATTATTCTGAAATGGACCAATCTGCACAGTGACTACTTTTACTGTCGCTACTTTCACTATATTTTCATGCTAATACTTTTACTTGAGTAACATTTGCTATGCAGTACTTTTATTTGTAACAGAGTATATTACTACACTATGATACTTCTACTTTTACTAAAGTACAAGATCTGAGTACTTCCACCTCTGAATTTTAGTGGGGTAGAAGTACAAAGTTGCAGACAAGGGAGATTCTCATGTAAAGTACAAGTACCTCTAAATTGTATACTTGAGTACAGTACTCGAGTAAATGTACTTAGTTACTTTACACCACTTGGACGAACAAGTAAGATAGAAGTGTGGACAATGAACAAGGAGACAGTATACACACAAACAGAACAGCCGGTTGAAAGCACTCACCCTGAGCTCATGTTCAGTGCGGTGTACTCCTAACTTCTTCAGCCCAATAGTCAGGTCGTTGACACAGATGCCTCCATCCCCGTTCACATCCAGGACCTGGAACAGAACCTTCAGCCTGTGCTCCTGCTCGGGCCCTCCACACGTGTCACATTGATGCGTTGACTGACCCGGCTCCGAGTGCTGGTCCCCGGCCCCGGGCTGCCGGGGGGCTGTTGAGGGGGGGTCTTCAGTGTGCCCGCCGCCCGGGTCGACCCCTAGGTGGGTGTCGCCTGATTGGCACTGGCAGAATACATCACTGAGCAAGGACGGCATCAACGAACCCTGCTGGTGTATCATAGGTGTCCGGCACGGTCCGCCACGCTTTAACCTCTGTACGGTACTGATAACAGCCGGAGAGCACTGAAGGCCAGCGCTGTGTCTCGAGCTGTGTTTTCGAGCCCTGACTACCACGTCACATATCCCTCCATTTCAGCCTGTTCTGAAAGGAAAAGCTACCAGAAGCCGGTAAGCCTAAAAAACAGACGTTTTACTCCAAACCAATTTGCAGAGTTCCCCTGAGACGAAAAGGGTTAATATCTTCAAGAACACTTTATACATTAGCCGAGTAAGCTGGCCTATTTAGGGTGACGTTAGCCTGAATGTTGACGTTAAAAGCCGGTTAAGGGAGACACGGATCCTGACCTGTCAGCGCCTTACCTTTTATTCATTAAATGACTTCACAGCATTGAGTGTCAGAGTCTATACCGAGCTTGTATATCGCAAAACACGAAGAAATGTTCCTCAATAAAGACCGTTATGAGTAAGATATGTGTTCCGATATTTTAGTCCGTTAACTTGCCGACTGAGAAGAGAAACTGTGGCTCGGGGAGCGAGCTGCGCCAGAAGTCTCGCTGTACAACGCGAGACTACAGCGTGACTTCATCAAAGGGTGCTGGGTGCTGTGGTATTTGACCAGAGACTGCTCTGACTGACAGGCGGCTGATTTCTTCTTTCTAGGAGACCATAGGACCAGTAGTTGTACAGACATAGCCCTTTTGTCAATAATTTGTCACCTCGACTGGAAAACGGAGATGAGCATATTAATGAGAATTTGAGGATTAGAATAGGAAATGAGGATATTGAATGGAATTCTGAAAAACGTATACTGGCGCCATCTTTTGTTTCAGATGTGTAATGTAAACCGAACTTAAAATTCTAGGTAGACTGGAAGCCTATTTAAATTCCTGAGAGAATAGATAAAGTAGTAACAAAACAATCAGGATAAACACTCATCAGATTACTAACGCGAAACCCCTTTCCTTCTCCTAGTACCTTGTTTTAATAGTGGGGGATAATTTCTCTTCAATAGGTTTAAAGAAGGCTGAGAAATCCGATAGCCTATTATAAATTATAACTCCATTCCAGATGGATAACATAATCTTTATGTTGTGGTTGCATAAATTAAAGATCTTATCAAACTATGAGTTTGTTAAATTAAAACAATCTTTTTTTTACGTTTCTAAAGATTCCTCTTAACTTGTAACTACAAAATGAATTTCACATTTTAAATGTATATTTATGAGTAAATAAATATAAAAACTATTACTCTGTGATTGATAGTATTAGACCCACATTCCTGCTGATAATTCTGTTACAATGCCTGATATTGGTGGTTACCTAGCAAACAACAGCAAAATGGGGGTGGGGAAGATATAGCCTATTATTATACAGTATGGTTATTGCAGATCTAAATAACGCAGGTTTCACAAAAATAAAAACAGTAATGTGTGTGTGTGTGTGTGTGTGTGTGCGTGCGTGTGTGTGTGTGCGTGCATGTGTGTGTGTGTGTGTGTGTGTGTGTGTGAGATTTATTTCCTAGATGTTGTCATCGTTGAGTGTTTTTAAAGACAAAAATCATTACCAATGCAAACAAGAAACAACTGTTGACCAACCACGACTGTGATATAAAGTGAGATAACGAGACAATTCTTATTTGGTAACGTTTATTTTGCTTGTTGTTTTGGCGTTTAATTGAGCCAATAGAGAAAGAGAATATTGCATGACCTAGAGATATCCAACCAATGGGATGTCTCTGGGCGGGGCTACAGGGCACGCCCAGCTAACGTAAGCGTTGTTGTCGGAAGAAGAAGCCGATTCTGGAAGCCATTACGTTGCGCACATCAATTGAGTAAATCCTACTATTTTTGCGTACAATACGCACAATTACCTCTCCCAAAGGGAAATTTGTGCAATTATGGCATCAGCCGCGAAAAAGAGAAAAATGAATTTCTCGGAGAGAGAGGTGGAAATTATTGTGGAAGAAATAGAGAAACACAAGCACACACTGGTTAACCACTTCAACGCTGGAGTCACTCACATGGCAAAGAATAACGCTTGGGGGGACATCCTGAAAAAGGTAAACGCTGTCACCACCTGTCCCAGAGAGTTGCCCGAGGTGAAGAAGAAGTGGTCGGACATGAAGACGGAGGTCCGGCGGAAAGTGGCCCAGGCGCGGGCTGCTATAGAGGGAACCTCCGCTGACTGCACTCCAGTCCCCGTCATCCTCACTGCGATGCAGCAGAGGATCTGTAACCTGCTGGGGGAGGCTACTATCATCAGCCTGCCTGCAGGAGACTCGGATGCTGATATAAGTTTACCTGTCACCGTGAACGCAGCCTCCACCGTCACACTGGCAGAGAGTAAGTCCTCACAAGTTGAACTGTGAGCGTTCACATGATACACTTAGTGTGCAGTAGTGTACAGTAACTAAGTAGATTTACTCAGTAGCCTACTGTACTTAAGTACAATATTTTTGTCAATGTGTTGCCACTGGACTTCAACCCTACTAAAATTGGAAATGAAATATTGTACTTTTACTCTATCTACATTTATTTAATACCTTTAGTTACTTTACAGCTTTTGATTAATGATGTGAAATATAGCCTAATCAACTCTTGAATCAGATCTTAGTTACACCTGGAGTAAATTCACAAGCTACCCTGTAGTATACAAAGTTATTAAAATGACCTGGGATATATTATTTGAAATGGGACAATCTGCATAATGAGTAGTTTTACTTTTGGTACTATAAGTATATTTTATATCTACTTTTGCGATTAACATTTTAATTTCAGGACTTTTACTTAGCAGAGTATTCCTACACTCTGGTACTCCTACTTTGACTTTAGTACAATATCTGAGTACTTTGTCCACCGTAAGTATGAGTGGCAATGCTGCTATAATAAGCAAGACAAGTGGATTCATCCCCAGAGCTCAGTGATAAATATTGCTTAAAACGTGATGAGTGTACAACACTGAACAAGCATTATAGAAGACACAACCCAATAAACACTAAAATACATATCCTTCAGTGGAAAACATGCGGTACAGTAGCGTTTTGGCAAAGCATGAATTAGGATTGTGTGAGTTACATAGCATCTGATACTTCCCACACCAAGAGGGGTTGAAGTGTCCCCCTCAAAGCCCTCATCACAGGTTACTATGGAGACAGGTTCTAAGTAATACAAAAAAAAATCTATATATTTAAACTCTGAAAAGGAAAAACTATCCAATAAACCACAAGTAAAAAAGTAAAGACGTAACAACTGAAAAAGGAAGTAAAAATGTGTGGCTAAAATATAATTCTTCTGCTTTTCTGTCATCAGGTTGATATTTTATTTTAAAAACCTTTCCCTTTTCCCTTCTTAACTTTGGAGGCACAACCTAAATTAAAAGGGCACGTATTTTAGCCCCTTTAGGAGAAAAATATCCTAAATGTGCTTTTGAAGATGTTAGCCTATCTTTCTAATTTTCTTGGATTGCTTTTATTTTGTTTTGTTTGCATCATGCTGTCTGTGTTTCTTTCAGCTCTTCCAGCGGGCTCAGCTACAGTCTGTGGTGAAGCAAAGCCACTGATTGGTAAGTGCGTTTATTATTATATACGTGAAACTATCAGTCTGTGTGAACATTAATGAAGCTTTCTGGTCGTTATATACTGTTAGCATGACCCATCCACCAAAGACTCAAATGTTGGTGTTCAGTGAAAGTAATTAAATAACAACGGTAACATTTCAATGCTTTGCATCCCTTACTGGAATCATTTTAGAAAACTACCTTTTCTAAAATTCAAATAATTTTGTATTTTTTTATTAAATGTAAAAAATAATGTACTTAATTTCTGTAAAAAGCTCTAATATCACAACCATTATTTAAAATCATGAGAGCAATATTAACTTCATCATTCAATACATTGTTTATGACGTTCTTCCAGTCATTACTGTGTCACTATGATTACAGGTGTTAGATATGTATTATAATGATGTGAGGTGTGTGTGAAGGGGGCACTGATCTTTGTGTTTCGTTCATCCATCCATGACACAGGAACGAGCCTGAGTGAATCCTCACTTGCTCCTGTGGTCACCCACCATGAAAATAATTAGTTTTCAGATTTTTAGCAGCAGTTCTAGCAAACCAAGACACATACAGTTCTGTTATAATAATGTTGTTGTCGATGGTGATTCCAGCAAAGCAGAGCGTCAAATGTTTTATCAGGATACAATCTTTTTTTCCCTTTGGATGACCATCCAATTCAAACCTACTCCAGCTCTGACAGGAGTGTGGTACTGATCTTCTCTTTTCCTTTTTTAAACTTCTTATTTATCGGCTTATTTAATTAAACAGACACACTATTTTCTGAATATAAAGTTATATTTTTAGATATAGCATAAGTAAATCACAACAAAGTAAAAAATGAAATAAATAAAACAGTAACAGAAATCTAAGGGATAATATATTTAGAGTTACATTAAGGCTGATTACCAAGCATCATACAGTTCATATTTCATCATGGGTCGAGTACAATGGAGGGATGATTTCACAGATAAACATTCAAACACACACACACACACACACACACACACACACACACACACACACACACACACACACACACACACACACACACACACACACACACACACACACACACACACACACACACACACACACACACACACACACACACCACACTTACTTGTAAACATATACAGTAGAGGAAATAAGTATTTGATCCCTTGCCGATTTCGTAAGTTTACCCATTTGCAATTGCCCTGCCGCGGTCGCTGTTCTCCCCCCATGCTATGGACAATCTTGCACTAATGTACATTCTCTAAATATTGAAGTGACTGTTGTTTTGTACATATTGATTGTTGTGTTTTTATTAAGATCTTAATTGTAGATCATTCTCATATGATTAAGTGTGTCCTTTGCAGGCCACCGTAGTTGGTGCGCCACACGGTGACGTGTTAAGGTAATAGGCATTGAGTTGTTAGTCGGCATGCAACGTACATGTTCACTGTACATGCTGTGGTCATAAATAAAGCCACCACTTGCCTATGCATTGTGTATTCCTTGTACATACACACATGCATGTATTAAGAAGTATTAACAACTTCTACATGGTGTCAGAAGACGGCACGAGCCTCTCCTCTCGTCTGGAGAAATTTTTCCACGGACCGCGCTAACGCTAACTAGCTGGCTGAAGCTAGCCCCAGCTACAATGGCGGATGGATTTCGCCGTCCGGACCCTGTTATGTTTGAAGGAAACGTCGCGGAGAGCTGGCGGATCTTCGAGAGGGAATATGAAATATTCATCGCCGCAGCGCACCCAGACAAGGCTGCCAGGACTAGGGTTTACATCCTCCTCAATCTCGCTGGACTAGAAGCCATTGAACGTGAACGATCCTTTATGTATGCAGCTGAAGTGCGCGCGCCAGGCCCCGACGGTGCGGTGATCTCCCCAGCTGAATCAAGGGAGGACCCGGACTGTTTGATACGGAAATTCAGTGAAATATGCAACCTTCAACATAACAAAACAATGGAAAGGCACAAGTTTAAAAGCTAAAAGTTGCCATTTTGGAGATTTAGCTGAGGAACTAATCTGTGACAGAATAGTATGTGGCATAATCAATGATTCTTTAAGAAAAACTCTGTTGAGAGACAGTGAACTGACACTTGCTAAAGCTGTTTCAGTCTGCCGTATACACGAAATGACAGAGAAAAGCAGCAGGACGTTAGCCGTTCAAGCTACCAGTGTTGATGCAGTGAGACCTGTTTCTAGCAGAAGGTATCAGCCAAAGCCACAGTCACTCGCTCACTCCCAGAGCATCTCTAACTGTAATAATTACGGAGGCAGCCATGCAGCAATGCGAGAAAAGTGTCCAGCTTTCGGGCAAAAGTGCCATAACTGTGAAAAAGTGAATCACTACAAAAAATGCTGCAAGTCTAAACCATGCAGCTACAGTCATTCAAATAGAAATAATTGTAACCAGTCTGTACATGAAGTAACAGTGGAAGAGCCCACAACACACAGAGAAGACACGTTCTACGTGGATGGCGTAGATATCGAAAGACGTGTTGATAGTGTTAATCCTCAAGCTAAAGACAAAGAAGAAGGATTTGTTACAATTCACATTAATGGCACACCAACTGAAATGAAAGTTGACACAGGAGCTAAATGCAATGTGTTGTCTCAAGAAACGTTCACACAAGTGACCAATGGCGAGCAACTTGTGAAGCAAGAGACTGCTATAAACCTTGTTGCTTATGGAGGAAGCAGGATTGAGACCAAAGGCCTAGTCACACTGCCTTGCTGCTTAAAGGAGCAGCACCATTTGTTGCCTTTCTTCATAGTGAACAAAGATGTGCAGCCACTACTGGGATTTCGGGCATGCGTGGACATGGGAATTGTCACATTGAGCAAAGATGTCCACCAGATCACTACGGAAAGCAACACGGATTTCACCACACAGACACTCATGCAGTACAAAGACCTGTTTGATGATGAACTTGGAGAACTACCAATCACTTACTCCATGACAGTTGATCCTAGTGTACAACCTGTGGTGAGACCTGCCCACCGCATTCCTATTGCAATGCAAGACAGAGTTAAAGCTGAACTTAAACGCATGCAAAACATAGGTGTCATTATACCAGTTACTGAGCCCACAGACTGGGTCTCATCTATGGTGGCAGCACACACAAAAGACAAGCAGGAAATAAGACTGTGTATCAATCCACAAGACCTCAACACAGCGCTGAAAAGACCACATCACCCTATGAGAAGAAGAAGTTGCAGCACAGATGTCAGGAGCAAAAGTGTTTTCTGTGCTAGATACTAAAAGCTCTTTCTGGCAGATACGTCTCGACAAGAAATCCTCCATGTTGACAACCTTCAGTACTCCATTTGGGCGGTACAGGTTCCTACGGATGCCCTTCGGCATTAGCTCTGCTAGTGAGGTATTCCAACGCTCGATGGAACAGCTGTTTGCAGGTTACCCATGTTCTGTCATCGTTGACGACATCATCATTGGTGGCCACGGAGTTGCTGAGCATGATGCCAACCTCAAGAAGGTGCTGGAACGAGTGAGAGAAGAAGTGGGGGGGGGGGGGAAATAATTAAACAAGCGAGTACCTGTTTTTCCTGGCCAAGGACAGGTTCCTTGAACACAACACGAGCGTAACGTGTCTTCACGTGGTATATGTCTCGTCTGAAAGGAGTGCTGACAGAGAGCACCGGAACGCCGCTCCAGCTCTTAAAATATTGCAGTACCCATAAGGAGCCGTACACATGCCGCAGTGTTTGCGTGGCTGTGTCTTTAGTTGTAAGCACAGTGGCGATCTGTTGTTATTAGCATCTGGTTAGCTAGCTATGCTAACGAATTTAAAGAGCTTTTCTACAACCAGGTGGAAGAGAGCTCTCTCCTGAGAGGCTCAAATAACCTCAGCTCAGTGAGGTTAAGGCACACCTTGATATGATCATTATAGTTATTAATGAGACTAAATGAAAAACAGGTATAAAATACTATATGACAGTAACAAAAAAGTTGTTAAAAATAACAAGAATAGAGTTTAAAAGGGGAGTGATTTGTAAAATATCCAAAAAGAAAAATATGCTTCCAGTTCTGTTTCATATGGGTGTTGAGAGATGTATCCATAGATCTCTTAATGTTGCTCTCAAAGTGCACCAGATAGATGCTTTTAATATTTAAAAAAAAATCTTCCCGGGGGAACATGCCCCCGGACCCCCCTAGAGGAGGTTAGGTCCCCCCCCCACTTAAATCATGTTCACATGGATAGGATACTAAATACATTTGCACACATCTTGTGTCTATATCTTTCTGTTTTGGTGGTCATGCCACACCGTGCACATGCATGCGCGAGTCATGCTGAGATATCTGGATTAAGAGGGTGCTTTTTCTTTGCACAGCATGAAAGAAAGGTCAAATGAATGGGCTGTGATTTTAGTTTTTTTAAGCAGAGGTTGAGTTCAATCATTTGTACGACCCTCGGAGGATGTTGTAAAAATTGAAAGGAAAAAGGTTCCCCACCCCTGCTGTAAATAATAATAAAAACCCTTGATTTTTAACTTAACATCTCTGTCTCCTATTGATCTGAGTATATTATAAAGAATAGCAGTTAATTGAAGCATTATAACCAGGGCTGCACATAACTGGTGCGCAGGTGCACATGCGCACCTCCGCCAAAAAAAGAGCACCGGGTCATTTGAAACAAAGCGCATTTGCGTACCAACATTGAGAGAGAGAGAGAGAGAAGGGAGAAGAGAAAATAGAGGAGAGAGAGAGAGAGAGAAAGAAAGATATTTGCGAGTTGCATATGAACCATGATATGAACTCAGGGCCGGCCCGTAGGACTGGCTAGATGTTCGCCTAGGGCGCCAGATCTGGGGAGGCGCTGCGCTGGCAGTTCTGGGAGGGAAAAAAACATTTTGACCGTTGGGGCTCATCCTAATTTTCGGCCTTGATGTAACAATATTCATAATTAAGTAAATGTAACAGCCTTTTCACCCCGGTTACACGTTTCATTTGCCCTGTACGATGGGCGCTGTAAGTGATGAAAAT